TGCCGATTGTGTATGGAAAGGCAGAGAGAGTTATGGTAGAGGTCCTTGTGTAAAATGGAACATGATAAGGAGGCAAAAATGTGCCAGAAATCATGGTAATTGTTGCCGGCTTTGCCTAGAAGAGAAATTGAACATTGCCACATATCCTGATAAAGGTGTCTTACTAAATGAGAGAACTTAGATTATGCCAGGGCGTAGACATTTAAGTAAATATTTTTAGATACCTATAAACCCGGATGAGCGAAATAAAATAAATTTATTTTCCCCCTCTTTTCCTCACTTACAAATTTTTCTCCTTCTTTTCATTACTTACAATTCTTTTTCTCGCCTCCTCCGACCCCCATACTTTTACCCTCTCACTTCCGGTTTTCTGCTATATTGGACTAGTTTTCTTAGGCTTGTACATCCTACCACTTGCCTGAGAAGACCTCACGGTCGAAACCAGGATTGAGAGGTCGGTTGACATTTTTTTCTTTATATATATATATATATATATATATATATATATATATATATATATTTTATATATATATATATATATATATATATATATATATATATATATATGTATATATATATATATAGATCCGACAGTATGATAAAATATACTGAAAAAACAAACAAAAATCCTAATATGCGATTATGCTGTTTTAATGTTTAGTGTCAACATCGGACGTTTCGGTCTAATAGACCATCTTCAGGACATATTCATAAAATATAATTAACATAGACCATATACAATTCAACATGAAAAAGAAAATGGACATAAAAGGATTACCAATTCGAACAGATAACAGAAATCTTTTATAAGATCAGCGTTCCGTTTAAATATTATCACGTCTTCGTCACGTGGGCGATGTTGTGAAAACGTATTCCTAAAATTTGAGTATTTTGAATGAAAAACGAAAAGAATTTTATTTTGATCTAGAACTTATATGTACGTTTGTCGAGCATTAATCTTGCTAGAAAAGGGGAAATATTAAAGAAGCCGGGTCTAGTGTTCACCGTACGTGAGATAGATATTATGCCTGCTTCATATATGTCCTGAAGATGGTCTATTACACCGAAACGTCCGAAGTTGAATTTAACATTAAAACAGCATAAACGCATATTAGGATTTTTGTTTGTTTTTTTTATATTTTCTTTATATATATATATATATATATATATATATATATATATATATATATATATATATATATATATATATACTAGCATATACCAGGTTTTGGTGGTGATATTAAAATTATGCTAATAATAAATATACAATTTTACACACACACACACACACACACACACACGCATACATATATATATATATATATATATATATATATATATATGTGTGTGTGTGTGTGTGTGTGTGTGTGAAAATATATAGAAAATAGTTTAGTATTTTTGTTATTATTTTTTTAAAATAGTGCTCGATACAGAGCATAAATATAATTACACGCTACATAAGAGTTCTCATGTTTCAACACGCTACATAAGAGTTTTCATGTTTCAAAACAAGAGCCGAAAACTTAAATATAATTATTTGAATTAAATTGAATTAAAGTACTAAGCTCTGTTCCATCTTCAAGCGAAATTTTTGGGGGAGTTAAATTTTTTTTTGTATTTAAATATATTTAAATCACTTAGACTCCTCCATAGGTTACATTTACTTTCACAGGTAGCATTGAGAATATTTTTGTGCGTCCTTAAATTTAAATTTTTGAAAAGCTAACGTTATATATACTTCTATTTATGAATACATGTGGTAAAATAAAATCCTTACATTTACCTTGATAAACTGCATTGGAGGACGAAGATGAAACACATTGGAAAAGATTTACTATTTTCTTTATTCATATATATATATATATATATATATATATATATATATGAACATTGAAGTCAGTAGGCGAAAGGCTGTTTCATGTTTGACGCAATCGTCAGACCACGTGTCCTGACGATTGCGTCTAGCATGAAAACACCCTGTCCCCTCTGAGTGTTGACTTCAATGTTCACTTTTATATTTATATACGCTCTATCTCTGATATTGAGCATTTCATTCTTTAAATATAGCACACCTTAAACCTCATTTCTTCATATATATATATATATATATATATATATATATATATATATATATATATATAGATAGATAGATAGATATAGATATACACACACTCTCTCTTTTCTCTCTGACGCACACATACTATATATTTTGAGATTTCGCATCACAAAGGGAACTCTTCCTGTCGCTCTAAGCTTTTTTTACCTTTGGGCAATACACGCAAGTAGCAGGAAATTAGTTGAGTATCGATGAATTTTCTTTCGTGTACGCATTCATTACCTGGGTTCGGGTGTAAGTGAGTGATCGCTGCTTAGCAGTGACTTCCTCGAACAACGTCTTCTTTACTGTATTATTTTCAATGTTAGATTTTACAAGACTAGAAACCTACAAAGCTTGGCCATCTTGCTGGCCAACCACGTTCGGTGCACGCATATAGAACAAGGACCCGTGCATATCAATATGCATAAACCGGATTTGGCTATTTGATGCGAGGTGATAGCCTATTTCCGTTCAATAACTATACCCAGAAACATTGTTCTTGGAAAACAATGTATCCGTTTAACCAAAGTCTTAACCTCTGACTGCAAAAACTCTTAATTTATTCAACGACATCGTTAATAATCTGAGAAAGCTTACATGTTCTAAATAACAGAAGGGACCATACAGTATTTTATATTTAACGATTAGTGTTTTAATATTTGTACAGTAGCTTCTTTCCATTAAAACAAAAAGCAGCACAGAGCCGTTACGCAATTCTTAGTTCAAACAATCCGAGGCTATTTAGAGGAGCCATACATTTGGATTGAGGAAGCTGGATTATTTTTTAATCATTTCACCCGAAGCAAGGCAATAAAGCTACTAAGACTCAAGGGGTTTTCTGAGTGAGAGAGATTACGAGTAATTATTGAGGAACGAAAACAATGAACGAGCAGAAATCAAGACGTATCGAGAAAATTGTTCGAAAACATTTATTTGGATTGTAAATTCCTTGAATAAAAGTTAATCAAAAGGACAATTATACTAAATGATAATTATTTATAAATACTTATGTTTGAAGTACGTATGTAGTCTTGCTTTGAGAGCGTCAATGCTGATTTACCCAGAACTAATAACGCCCTTAAAGGCTTCCATAGGGCTTTTTTGCAAGGGTCATCCCATCATCCCACAATATAGAAATTCTTAGACGCTCTTAAAAGAGAACAAGACTTGCAAGAAATTCATCTTTCAAAAGTAAGAACAGTTTGCCAAAATATTAAAAGCACCAAGAACTACTGCAACGAAAATGGAAAACTTAAACAATTAGTGGCATCCTTTAACGAGAACTCTTCAGTCGTTACCTATTTGCATGCAGTATCATATAACTTATGGTTATAAGGATTTTTACTTAACTAAATTGTTTTATTAACGATATCTGTATATTGAATATACCCTTGTTCAAATTAATTGAAACAAAACGAATCATTCCTTTATTATTTAATTTTTTCGTAATTTTCCAGTGAAACATGATCTAATGTGCACGTTAGTACTTCGTAGGTCCTTTCCACGATGTCGCTCCTTGCAGATTGACCACAGATTCTCGACTGGATTTAAATCAGGAGAGTTTCCGGGTCAATCTAGTACTTTGATTTGCTCATTGGTAAGGCCTGCCAGTGTTTTCCTGCAGCGTTACAAATTTTCGTACGCCTCCTTGGAGTAACATATGTCGCAGACAATGGCTGTCGGACAACTAATCAACAGTCGAGACAATCTAGTACTGCGCTTCAGAGTAGCGTGTTATCATATCTCTCATTCCAATTCCAGATCATTCTTCTTAGAACACTGAGCACAGAATGTTGATCTTTTCTTCAAGATCATTCTTATACCAGCTCTGTATACCTGTGTCATCAGCATAGCTCCATCCTCTTCACCTGTGCCAAAGATGGCGTTAAAGTATAAGTGAAATTCTGACTTTCACTTATACCAAATCATCATCGCAAAAGTTTCCACTTGTGAGAGAATCAAGTGATTTGGTTTCTATTATCTGGTACATGTGATGCGTGACGTACACCTGAGGGATGACGTCTTCAATTGATCTGGTTTTTGTTAATTGTTAATGCTCTTTGTTATGTCGTCGCACCAGTCTATAGGAACTGGTGAAGAATTTAAGATTTGAAGCGTGTTTAATCGTTGATCTAAGAGAAAAAGTTCTATAGATGATAATTTAGACATTTCCGAATGAGTTGGATGTCAGGAATAACATCCATATGATAGCCTAGATTTGACAAGGCTATTTAAGAACGTGATTCATTTTCAGCTCAATATATTGGTCTTTTGCTATATTGTAGTATTGGACAAATGTATTTCTAACATAACTTAGCCACATTATTTACATTATTCGGACTATTGTCCTCATCTTTGTCGCCATATTTATTACAACGTTTCAGCCGTTGTACGCTCCGGCCTTCTCCAGGTGGTTGAAATGTGGCATGTGTCCTCGAGGACACATGGCACAGTGGATAAAGGGGTTGGTTAGATCCAGTGACAGGACCCAAAGAGTGTGAGTTCAATACCCGGTTAAGGCAGGGAGAACTTTCAGAGGGAAATTAACAGGAGATAATTGATAACTGACATCCATTAAACATGACACGTGGAACTAGAACAGTCTACCCCGGTGAGCGAAATAAAGGGTTCAGTTCGACATTCTAACCACCTGAAGAAGGCGGGAACGTACAACAGCTGAAACGTTGTAATAAATATGGTCACAAAGATGTGGACAATAGTCCGAATAATGTACATAATACCTCATCTCAGAAATGTAGAAGAATACATAACTTATCCATTGTTCAATTTCTTTATCTTCTATACTAATTTTTTATAACTGAGAAATAAACTAAGTTATTTGAAGTATTTAGATTTTATCAATTACACATTCTGAATGTTTGTGATGGATACAGGGTACATGCCATCATGGCTCTCATTCTAATTCCAGATTATGGTTTTCCGTTTTAGAAAGGTTTATCCAAAGTCGTTTACGTGTGTGACAACGTGTGGGATGAATATATTGGCCTAACACACATAATTAAATTAATACGGGATTTAGTTAATGACATTTAGATTTTATCAATTACACATTCTGAATGTTCATGATGGATTCAGGGTACGTGCCATCATGGCTCTCATTCTAATTCCAGATCATGGTTTTCCGGTTTAGAAAGGTTTACCTGAAGACCTTCTTCTTTGAACACTTGGTATAGAATGTTAATAATTTGTTCAAGACCATTCTTACACCAATTATAAACACCTTATTTTCGGTATACTGTTCTCTCAATGAAAAACGAGACATCTGCTTTCTAGATCCTTTTGGGAATGGGGTAAGGTATAAAACAAAGATTTAAAATCAACCTTTAATTAAATATAGCATCAACCCAAGACCGTATTGATCCACCTTTCTATAGTTTCTAGTCATTTCAAAAATCTGCTTGCAGATTAATAATGCGCTCTTTGGGCAGTCTTAAAACTTTTAACACATGACGCAGAAGAACTCTCTTCCGTTCCGGTTATTTAGTTCCGGTTATTTAAGTCTATTATGACGAAATGTTATCAAAGTTTTCAGTATTTCACTTCTATCTTTGAATATTATACCAATAAAATGATTTTCCCGCTTAACATCTACGAAGATTAATTTCTTCAGAGAATGCTTCCTATTGATTATTCGTGCTCTGTACCATTGGCGTGCGCGCAAATCCTACCTGCGTGTCGCTGAGACAAAACTAAATTAACTTCCTCTTCATGGATGATTTTTCGTGTTGAAGGCGCGGCTTTAGTACAATGTTAAGTATTCATAATTATCTGTGTGTATGTATTTATATTTTTGTTATGAATACTATAGCGAGCTTGTTGATATGTAGATAGATATAAATATATTTTTCTATGTATACCTTTGTATTTATATGTAATTTTGTATATATATATATATATATATATATATATATATATATATATATATATATATACATCTATTTGTAATTATTATTTATTTTTAAATTTATAACGTAAACATCTTATAAAATCACTACAAAAATAGCCATTTTGTTTCAACACTCCCGGTGTCTTATCAAGTGATGATGTTGAATGCAAAATAAATGGTTTTAAAGGTTTCAAATTAATTAACGATCCTTCGCAAGGGGAAAACGCTGTTACGAAAGCTAGAATGACCAATCAAAATACAAGTATAGGAAAATTCAAAAAGCTTGACAATGGAGTCATGTTATAATAGCTATTAAAATATTTAAAATACGGGTAATATTAAAAAAGAATTTATTCTAACCAACAATTACTAAATTCTATGATAAAATTTGATATTAAAATTAAAAACTGCCAATTTTAAAAACCAAATTTAAACACTATTAATTTTAAAATTTATAAAATTACTGAAGAGAAAAGAAGAAATACATATATTATTCAATTTATTTCTTCGTTGAAATTACGTTAGAACAGACGCTACTTCATCCGGTCATCCGACAATATATTTGTATATTTGTAATGTTACCGTGTAAATTACTATAAGTAATTTATACTCTTTATTTATCATCTCTCAGTTGCGTCTCAGTCTTTGGACAGAGTGCGCTCAGGGGCTTCTCTGCCTAAGAACAGAGGAGCAACTGAGAAAATAATACTGAGATGGGGAAGAGCTGTCCGAGGCCGCGCACTTCCATTGCACAAGAGGGAGGGATCGGTGTTCGCACCGAGGCTAACGCAACCGACGGTTGAGGGGGCTGTGGGGAATTTTTGTCCCTGCCTGTGTGTACGCGCTCTGGTCCCCACATAAAAAAGACCTTGTGTCACATCTCATTCTCTTGGGGGAATGAGTAAACACCGTATATTTGTAATGTAATTTGTGTGTACATTTGTATTATGTTTAAAATTACTTATTAGATATGTATATGTATATGTGTATTTGAATTATATTTTTGTAGTTGGCGGCATCTAAGTGTGTGCATCTGTATATTTATGCGTATATATTTTTTATATTATTTTATTTTAATTTTTTATTTAGTTTATTTATTTTTTAAATCCCCCCATTAATAAAATGAACTGGTCCAGCATTATAGTACGGTATAATACCAAAAGGCAAATTGGTAGGTGTAGAATATTGCTTAGCTTAGCGTCTTCGGGATTTCTGGGGTCTGGTCTTGGAGAAAATGGGACCAGTGTTGCTTCTATCTCCACAACACTATTTTTGTTAGATGACACATAGGAGCCTGTCTCTTGGTCAAACTCTACATGTGCAATCAAACTGTCCATGTTAGCTTCATTGTCTTGAAGGCCTCTCACTTCACCAGAGAGACTTCTTCATCTGGATCGGCAAACATTTGAAAAATGACCTTGGATGCCACACGAGTCACAGGTCTGATTCCAGGTAGGACATGCATGTTGGCGGGTGCTGGTTCCTGGGATGCCATGCCTGTGGCTACCACCTCCACTACAACGCAAATTGTTCTGTTTTGGGGGGCACCCAGATTGAGGGGGATTTTTTTTCACTTGTGTTTTTTTTTTCATTGCGATAGGTTGAGGCACGCAATGCCGACATTTCGAGTGTCCCTGCCATTTGTGCTTGGTCACGCAGTGCTGCCTCGAATGCCTCAGCCTGGTTGATGTTTTGCTCGAGGGTCTTTAACGAGCCGGCCTTTGCTAGTAAATCTGCTTGAAGAGCATCATTTGCTGTGCCTCTGACCAGCTGGTCTTTGATATAGATGTCAGATAGGTCATGACTGCAAATGGGACATGTGAAGTCACAATCCTTCGCTGTACCTCTGAGACAGACAATAAATTGCTGGATTGATTCACCTGGTCATTCAGAAATTGAGGCAAAAGACAATCTATGAACCATGGGGTTCGATTTTTGTGTGACTAATGCCTCCAACATATTCAGGAGTCTATTTAATTTTTCAGAGAAAAATTTGGGGTATGCGTTTATAATTGATGTTTCGACAGTCTCATCAGCACAGTTGTATAATTGGATGTTGGTCTGTGTAGGGGGCATATTTTTCATTTGTACAAATACCTCCCAGTCAATTCTGAACTTTCGGAATTGCTGTGACGTCATCTCTGAGTGGAGCTGGAGGAGTTTGACTGCAGGGGCCTTTGTGTAGCTGTCTGATGTCAAAGGCTGCTCCTTTGATAGTTTGAGGATATCTAGGGCATGCCCCATGGTTGTGACACCTAGTTCTTTAAGGATTTCCCGGTCTATAAATAGAGAGGCTATCCTTGATAATGCTTTCTTTCACAAAAGATTCAGCATAGGTCCTGGCAGAGTCAGCGGGAATGCCAATTTTGATAAGTAGCTCTTGCCAATCATCGGATCCTGTTCACAGCGCCATGTAAAATATTGCTTAGCTTGCCAGTGGTCTGACACACAAGCAGGCAAGTGTAGCCAAAGCCAAAAACTGACTTGAGTCATTTCACAGAGAATTATATGGGTGAATAAAGACAACTCATGCAAATGTATTGGACAGGTCCATTCTAGCAAAATGGACCAACCTAACTGCTGTATTAGGCACTCTCCTATAAAATGAGGTAAAATCAGCTGGCTTGCTTTACAAGGAAACAGAAGAAGGCAGCCATGTTGGCAAGTATGTCACTTGACTTCTATTGTAGGGATTATTCCAAAGAGGACTTTTTAGTCCATATTAGAGCCCAATGTATGACACAGAGCAAAGAACAATTAGGAAAACACCTTAAAAATCTATGGTCAGTAATAAATTTATTTCGATGAATATAAGCATATTCATCTCATCAGACTGGCTACTGTGATATTGAGCACTTAATCTCGTAAATACAGCACTCCTTAAAACTATATATATATATATATATATATATATATATGTGTGTGTGTGTGTGTGTGTGTGTGTGTGTGTGTGTGTATAAACTCTACAGTTCAAAAGCTTGAGGTGATCCCTGGTAAGGCTTTAAATTGGCCCCAAAAGTAATTATTATGCATGGTTAAAAAAAAGTGAGACATGATGTTTTATTAGAAATTTTGTTGTATCAAAAATAAAAATAAAAGCATTTTATGATTAAATATTACTCACTTCAAAATATCCTCCTTTAGCGTTGATCACTGCAGCAAAATATTTATTGGATTCGTTGCAAAAGCTTCTCAAAGTGTGAATTTGACAAGTGATTGTATTCTTTTTCCATCTAAGAGCTATTTTTTTCTTTTTCCACTCTTCTGTCAAGTTCATCAAATGATAATTCTGTGTGTGTGCATGTGAGTGTACTCGGCGTGTGTGTGTATGTATGTATGCACGTATATATATATATATATATATATATATATATATATATATATATATATATATGTATATTTTGTGTTTATATAAATATATATTTCCAGTCAGGAAAGGTTCTATAGCCTTTGATGGCAACTGGTCTAGGAAAAGGAGAACTTAATTCAAAACCTGCAGAGGGTCGTTTGGGGACCCTATAGCACGTAGTGCACCAGGTCTCTGTATTCGGATTCAAAAGTGGTGAAAAACTTCACCACTAAAATTACATCTCATGTGCAGCTGTAGGACTGTCGGTTTCTTAGAACTGATCTGCTTGACACTCATACGTCGAATTCGACGGAGAGTCGAATATATATATATATATATATATATATATATATATATATATATATATATATATATATATATATATATATATATAAAGAAAGACGTATAGTGTGCGTGTGTATATAGAAATAGAAATGAGTGTTGAAAATTCTCGGGCTAAGAAGAATAAACTAGAGCTATTAAATATACATGTTTTGTGGGGTCGTATCTACGTATATATGAACGAATGTGCGTTATTGGACTCTGTACACGAGCACAATATTATCAGGGTAGATTCGACTCTGAAGCATTGTGAAATCAACCAATATCAGAGAAGGAAACTCCGAAAAAAATATTGTCACTTCGTAATGCTCGTTGTAGTAGAGACTTTGTAATCGCAGATACAACTATAGTAACGCCGTTGAACAATACTGATGTCAGACGCCTTCGAATAACACACTCACTGATTGTACTTGCTCAAAAATACTCGCTCAAATAGTAATCCGTATAGTAAAATAGTAGAGAACAGTGGTTCGTATTGTAATAGAGGATAGACTAGACATGAGGATCCTTATATTAATAGAGGATAGAACAGAAATAGCGATCCGAATAGTAATACAGGATAGAATAGAAATGGAGATCAATTGAACGTCACGCCACTTTTTATTTAATCTATGCTTACGTAGTCTACTTATTTCAATAATGGGATCGCCTGTGCTTGCTAACTGGCGATCTATGTTCAAACTCAAGTATCGGCAGCGACACTTTATTCCTATATAACAAAATGCATTATTGATATTTTTACTATAAAAATATTTTTCTTTCTTTGGGGATTCCCTATTTACACATAGCTGGGATCCTAACAGGTGCTACCACCTGGGTCAGAGTGGACGATCCTCAAAACCTCTAATTTCTTAATCAGAGGCCTTGCTGCCGGCTGTAGTTTATCGTCATACTCAGGACTGCGATGGAGGAATGGTGACTTGTCCAAGAATAACCATCTGAGAGTACATAACTACGACGCTTCCCATTCGACACATCGCTGACCAGACGCCCGGACCTGACGGCAATTCATCATGCGTGGTGAATATTAAAAAATCTTATTACGATAAAATACCCTCTTTCTGGCAGAATTCGAACCTATGTCCTCCTCGGCTGTTGTTAGATCCGACGTGCTTTAGAGCGTCTCGGCTGCGAAGTGCTTCGAAAATCAAAGTTAAATAGTGCCTTATAAATGCAAATCTTTCTCTGACTCTCGAAACGTTCAATATTCGTTCAGGCCGGTAGACGCAAATAGATAATTATATAGTTTACTAAATAAACGGTGTGCCTTTTCTCGAATATCGGTATTTACTAAAAATTCTATGCTAACAGTTTTTTCTCGCACTTATCGCTAGTGGAACTCTGGTCTGACTCCATGTTTTTCAGCTAACTTTAATCTGGAAAATTTTTAATGCAATATCAATCGTTATCTACTGTCCTCTTTTCTCTTTCCTCTTTCCGCTGAGTATTAATGTTTCTGCTTCTAATTCTTCCCCACCCAGTATCTTCGTTTCAGATGAAATATTTCTTTTCTAACCGACATGCCATCCATTATGAAATTCAAAGTTAAATTCCTCTCTTCACCTGAAAAGTGATTCTATGTTTGTCTTCTTTAATTGATGTCATAAAACTCAGACGTAATCATAATTGACATTTTATCTATACACATTCAAAGCGTGCATACATTTTTTAGTTGACAAGTTGGCAACATATTAACGCATCTCTAATGTTACCATGTTTTCACGTTCGCATTTTACTTTCAGCTACTTTTCTCTTCGCAATTTAATTTTTCCACGAATTTTGTCTAATTTGATTAAGTTTAAATATATGCTGCTTCTTTGGATATTTAAACGCTTCCATCGTGCAGACTCTATTTTGTTAAAGAAACCTTTAGAAATTAACCCGTGTAACTTCTAACGCTTTATTTTGGCAAATAAAAATAATTTTATAAACTGCACTATATATTAAATAGAAATTGCGACAAAATGATTGTACTGTTGTTAACTCTGTAAAGGTATAGGTTAGAACCTCACTATGTTGCAGCTGGGGTTTACGTAAGGAATTTTCTGGCCAAACGCTTAACTTGTTTCAAATTCAGAACGTTTCTCCTAGAATGGGTGCCAACCAAAACTACAGAGAATATCCGTCTCGCTGTTAAATCTAATGCTGGTAATTGGGAAAAGAGATGGATTCATACCTTTCTTCACTTCGAAATTCTTTGAAGGGTACCTGGTCGACAATCTCCAGATGGAGTGTAGTTTGATATCTTATTAAATGGAAAGCAGACGGTCCTGTCACAAAAATGGACACGGAACATTTATTTTCGACCGATGATTATCAGTATTTTGAAATGGACTTCACAAGTACAAAGGAAGCGGCAAAAACACGGAAAGTTACGGAAGATAAATTAATTTTTTAGATGACAAGACAATGAACAATGTTCTCTATAAGAGAGTGGCCACAGTCCGCGAAAAGAGCAAAGAGACGAAGAGGGCCCACGGAGAACGAGAGGAGATGAAAGACGCCCGTTAAACTGTTCTGATCTCACTCCACATACGCCTCATTTCTGCTTTGCTTGTTTATAGCAGTAGGTTACAACCCGAGAATAAACTCTGGTTTACTGCTAGAAGCTATCATGGTTTTATTTGTGGGTAAAAAAATTGGCTGAAGGGTTATTTTTAAGCTACAGTCTTTTGGCTGGAACATGCTGCACCCTGTCAACAAACCTGGTGTCTAGTGCGAGATGCAATTCTACAGAAGACCAGAGGGAAAATCGCCAAAACTTTGTGATAAAATCAATAAAGATGGAAACATTTGTCGGGATG